ATGTTTTTTGGTATGTCATCAAGAACAGAGTTAGGTTGAAGAAAATATTTCAGCTGTGTATTTGTATTTATGGGTAAGAGAAGCAATTTCTAGGGTACAGAGACAAGGAACTAGAATATTTTTCTAACATAATTAAGCAGATACTATATTCTTGGCTCTTTACCCTGAGTATTAGTTCTGTACAGAGTTTTCCTATACTGTACTGGGTAATTCACAATAATTAGTCCTGAGAGATAGTAGCAAATTTAGATGATTCTGTAAATATATTTGTGTTACGCACTTTTTAAATGATCTTCCTGTTTGACCCAGGATGTGTTACCTGTTTTCATTTTAAGAGATCATGAAAGAACAACACGTTAATTACCTGTACTCTTTTAACAAGGAAGCATTTTCCTGTGTCTGTCAACATTTGACAACTTTGAAGAGTAAAAGAAAAGAAGATAAGAGGTTTTTTCCAAAGTATTTTAAAAATATGAGTAAATTGGTATCAGCTTAGAACTTTCCAACTCAAGGGAATTAAATCATGTCAGGTCTCCCAGATGAACATTTACTGGTAAAAGTTGTATTGTTAGAGAGCTGCAAAGAGCACAAAACTGAGACAACACGTGCATTTTGAGGCATTGGCCAATTATGTGTTCCCATTACATGAAAAAGAGAAATCTGCTCTATGGAGAGAGACAGGCAGTTCCAAACAGTCACTAGAAACATCCTAGCGAATTATCTTAGGTTGGATTAAGGTCACCAAATGACAAAATTAATGACAAATTAAAGTGACTAAATGACCAAAATTAGAAGGCATGACTCCCACACCAGGTATTCCCATGTGACTTTTCCATTGTGATGTCTTTTGTATTTTCTTTCACTTTTTATAGACTATATAATGCTTCAGGAGACCTCTAAAATCTTCTGGAGGACACTTGTATCACTCAAAAAGTGTTGGAAGCAAGGATACTAAAACAGAACTTACGTAGGCACACCCATAATTCAGTAGTCATAACTGCAGCGAGATCTTGCTTTGGCTACAATAATTTTTTCCTCACGGTAACATGAAATGACTTTAAACTTTCTAAATTGTTTTTGATAATACAAATAAATACAGCCATTTTTGATGATATATTTTTACATTTCAGCAGAAGGCAAAAATATTAATTTACTTTAGTGACAGGAACCTTCTGCCTCCCAATTCTGACAGATTTGGCATTCAGTGGAATGCTGGTTTACAGCTTTTCTGCGTGTTGATATAAATGATTCGCTATTGCAGAGCTTATGTGAAAATATCCAAGCCCATTATTCCTAACTGAAAAGTTAATACAGTGTTTACAGGGTCATACATATCCTCCAAGCAAAACTGAGTAAGTTGTTGTCCTTTCTTCAGTGATCTTTCCCAGTCCACTTCCTATAAAACATTTTGATCAACAGCTTCTTCCTCTGTATTTAACTCCAAAATCCTCCGGGCTAAGCATTACACTGGTTTTGGCACAGTATAAATTGGCTTTCATAGTTGACTGCAGAGCTCTTCTGTTCCCTGATCCTTGGCTATTATTGATGAAAGGTCTGAATGAGGGCTCCTGGCACTGATCAGTGAGCATAGCGGTGTGGAAGGAAATGCACCCAGCTTCAGAACAAATGCCACTCTTTTCTCAAAGAACTTCTTTATTCATTCTCAGTTATACATGACAAAATCTGATATAGGGACAGTAAAGCAGCCATGGATGGCAGATCAAAATTCAGACAGACCCATAATGTTAAGAGATGCTTGACATAATACATTCTAGACCAACCCTTTTAGTTCAGATTTGAAAGGGCCAGTTGGCAACGTTTTTTTTTGTCTTCTTTTGTGCTGACATGACTAGGTCAGAAATGTCCTCAAGGTTTTAGCCAGACTTGGTTAGTGTGGTGTCTGCATATTCAATCATGTCAGAAGAAAAAGCTGTTCATCAGAATGCTTTGTAGGAGGACAACATGGAGAGATCACTGAAGAAAGGACAATAGGTGCAACTTGTTTGATATCACATTTAGAAATATTATATTATCTATTAATCTAAATATTATATAAATATTAATCTATTAGAGATAGAGGGTAATCTCAGTAGTTTCTATAATCTTGTTCAGGGCTTTTAATCAGAAAGCACATGGAGATCTATTAAAGATACTGTGTGTGACTCCCTTAATAGACCTGTCTGCTGCTGATGGTGATGACAGAGTAGATGTGAAAGCTCACTGGGTATCCTGGGGTTTGACAAGAAGTGTCCCACTGGTTAAAGACACTACAGTCCTTTCGTTTTCTGGTGCATAAAACAGCACCTACAATACTGGTGCTTGGGTATTAGGTGAACTGTTTGTGTATCAGCAAAAGGGGATGATGAAATTCTAGGCAACAAGGCAAGAATGCCTTCAGGAATTAGAGACATCTGGAACTAGAAATAGGCTCAGCAAACCTTTTATAGGTTAAGTAAGCATTCACTGAATGACTAGGAAGTTGTGGTCACATACTCTCCTACCTGATAGT